CGTCTACTCCTCGGGCACCACACCGGATGATAACTTCACTATATCGCCAATATTACAACAAATGAAATTCTTTGGAATTCCCAAAGTGGGAGAATGAAGAATACAAGAGGAAGAGAGAACTTGTTTTTGTGATGATTTCTAATGAAAATACTTAGGCCTATTTATAGTTGAGTTTCAAGAACAATATGTTCAAAGTTTGGCCACCTACCAAAGAATTTTCCAATGTGTACAAGTTAGCCACCAAATATGAAATTCACATGTTCAAAGTTTGGCCACCAACCAAGATGAAATTTCTAATAAGTTGGCCACCAACCAAGATGAAATTTACAACTTGTCAACTTAATTTCTAGACAAATCTAACATTTTGTGCCCTCAGCAAAATGCGAGAGAGCCGTTTGTAATTTAAAACCATCAGTACCAGCACTAAACTCCACTAACGGATCGTCAAGCTTCGAAAAAGCTACTCCACCGCATTAGAGATGCCACTTCTCTGGCAACATGCAACATACGCAGCTACCCCAGGACAAGCTGCCTGGAAATCTGATTCCTTAGCCCATACCTCTTCGAAACGAGAATCCACCATTGCTTTCTCGGCAACTGAATACCACGAGCCTTCACCTGCACACAAGCCATCTTTGAGCTCTATGATATCTTGATGAACATCCTCCATATGTGTGTAATCAAGAATAGCAAGGGGAGTCTCTCCAGTACATATCTCCAGCTCAGGGGATTTATTTAGCGAGACATCCACAACCTCACCTTCCATAGAAACCGGGTAAGCACCTGCTTCTTCAAACAACAACGAATCTACCCAGAAAGAATCAGGATTGAAACACGATTCAAACTTTGAAACAAATACTATAAAAGACCTATCCCCGACTTGCATATCAACGGATTCTTCCACTCGAGTTTGATGATTCGTAATCAAAAGAGTCAGGATTTAAAGTTCATTCCTCCATGGAAATAAGCTCACCCCATTTTCCTGCAATGTTTTTGAAAGTTGAAGGACCCATACAAACTATGGGATCCCTTTACACGATAACCATGCTCGTCTACTGCAGCACTGCATATTTTCCGATCACACTTCCACTTTGACAAAACAGGTTTGCATCGCCTCAATCTGGTTTTTAAGCGTAAAATTCAGACTCTCTTCATCTTCAAAAATGATAAGAATAGCTAATCCGCTTAATCTCATTATTCTCGGACTCAAAATGTCGGCTTTATGCAAGATAGCAACCAGCTCCTTCATCTTAATAAATTTACTGCACCAACCGACCAAACTATCCTTCAGAGTACAAAGCTTATCCTCATCAATAACACCAGCAATGGGAACCTCATCAGCAACCACTACTCTACTCTTAGCCACACCTGGTTTTGACACAGAATATTTTTTCCTCTAGAAAGCTTCACGAGGATGATATCTTGCCATAAAAACTCTAACTTTGTTGCCTTGAATCCTAGATCTATCAGCAAGAAGGATAGCCTTCCTCGCATCCTCCAATATGGCAAAACGAACAAAACCAAATCTACTACCCCTTACTTCTTTTATTAGGATTGAAAGAATCAACCACCTCACCATAATTATCAAAAATAAGCCAAAGACCATGATGATGAAGAAATTTTGGAATGTTGAAGATAATAATCGTAATACAATCTTTCCCCACAGTACCCCTCGCCTTACTCTCCATCTCAAGCTTGGTTTTCTGTACTCTTATTTTTCAACTCTTGCTTATCTTTTACTACTATATAATAATGAAATCCTTGGAGCAAGCGTTGAAGGGTCTCATTAGCTATTCATGTTTACATGCTTCTCTTGTATTATAGAATGTAGGTATTTATTGAAATCTTGACAAGGGAATGGGAGTTTTTCCTCGGGAAACAAGGATAGTGTGATTCTTATGGCATTCAGTCTCCTGAATGTAAAGACTTTTTCTATTTCATTTTATACAAAATTGAACCTGATAGTTCTCAAGGTAATACATATCTGGTTCCCATGGTTTACCTCTAGTATACATGAATTGAAAAAATGGCACATATTGTTCGTTCTTAGCTCAACATGTTTCTATACATAAATGATAATGTGCATTTATGATCTATATATGCATACAATTGCTTGCATATCCGGATTCATGGTTAAGTTAATCTTTTACTATCTTCATGTTCCTAAATGATATGATTTATACGTTTAATGATTTTGTAGGATCTGATTAATAATATGGTGCTATTCTAAATTTCTAATATGCAATGTTTTTCTGCTTCCTTTATGACCTGTACATATTTGGGTCCCATCAAATCCCCGAGGTGCAGAAAGACTACCACCAGAAATTGTTAGAGCTGAGACAGACTTATACTTACGCAGATTGTGGGGCTAGCCGAATGAGTTGTGTTTCCTGAACCCTTTGTTGGTTATATTTTGAACTCTGAATTCCTATCAAATTTCTAGTGTACACATGAATATTTTTATCTCTGGTATGTATAGATAAATTGCTTTGGTTTTGATTCAATAAGCTTTATAAATGAAATATCACTTTTGAAATTGTTGGAAAAATCTATCGTTACAAATTTTATTGTTCTTGTTCCTGGGCATATGCTAAACTATAACCGCAACAAGAGACTATATGCGTAATTGTTGAATGTTTGATACATATAGAGGGAAGGGGTTAGGGTGTTGGACAGGATTTTCGAATTACTGTCCGGGAAGAAAGGTTTTTCTACTATGAGATGAAATAATATCTGCATCTTTTATTCGTTCAACATAAAACTTTTTCAAATGCCTAGTACATTTCAGGATCTCAGAAAGGCAGATTTTAGTGCCTGAGAGGTTGTTTTTGTATTGTTAATCACCATTCACATGATAAAAATCATTATTGTGCGAGTCCATAGATTTAACAAAGAGCCATTCTCTTACCCTGATTGTGGTTTGAAAATATCGGCATCTACAGGACTTGACTGGCACACCCAAGTATCTTGTCACATTTACTGTTGGTTATAATCAACGAAAGAATATTGATGTTGTAGTTAAAAAGGTACCACTCTCTCTCTCTCTCTCTCTCTCTCTACGCACATGTTTGTATTAAGTATGCATGAGTTTGTGTCTGAATGATTGTGTGAAGGGTGCATCCCTATACACATCTGGAGGCATTTCTGGAAGATAGGCAGGATGCTGAGGTGGGACGGAGTTTCCTGTGGCTTTGATTCTGAACTTTGCATGTTGTGACTAAAAAAGTGCTTCCAACAATTTTCAGGGAATTTTACCATCCTTCTCTTTCATTATGACGATCGAACAAATAAATGGAATGAGTTTGATTGGTCAAAGAGGCAATACATGTGAGTGTTCGGAGGCAGACTAAATGGTAAGTAGTTAATCTAGATTTTCAAATTCAAGTCCTTTTGCTGTCAGGATTGGATGCAATGACTAATTCTTACGTTTCTTAATGTTTTTAAAGATCTAACTTAATATTTTATTTTGATTATTGGATGTGAGTCGTGTTTGAGTGTATGTTTTATTTTGATTATTGGATGTGAATCAAGTAAATTTTAGTATGTTACTTTTAGGATCTGATAGAAAGACCATTTAACTGGTCTGCGTCTTTGCTGAAGCATATCGTCCATAAAATATCAAAATTGCATGGTTTAAGAATGTCAAGGAAAATTTTATTTCATTTTGGGACAATTTAGTTATAGAGTGCCAGAATGGAGCATTATTTGATAAGGAATTGTTTGACAAGTGCATGGACTTGTCATTACTGGTTTGTTTATGATTCGAGGTTTTTGATGGATGCATCTACATGTTTTTTTTCAGTTATGTGGAGGTAAATCTTCAGAAGGGGTTTTGTTGGTACATTCTTGTCTATGTCTTCTACAACAGTGGTAAACCTATATGAATTGCATTGTTGACTGAGAACTTGGATACTAAATCCTTTTACTATTTCACATTTCAAATATATCTTTAGCTGGTAGGTAGTATCTCTCTCAATTTTGAATTTTTTAATACTTGTCATGACTGGTTTGTTTATGATTCCAGATTTTGAAATTTTTAATGGAAATGAATAATTTAAGTGCCCTTCATGGTTTGTTTATGATTCTAGGTTCAAGTTACAAACTTCTTTTGTTTTATATTATACAACAAGGTTATGTTAATTTGTTTCAATCTGGATTCAAGTTAAAAATTTCTTTTGTTTTATTTTCCATTTTCACTGACGCTTATTATTGTTTTTAATGAAATGAACTGAGTTGATTATTCTCTAAGTTTACTATTTGATGAAAAAAAAGTTAAAACATTGCTTGGAAAAGGGAAAAAAAGTACTCTCTTTTGGGAAGACTCATTATTTATAATAGTTACTCATTTGTTCATACTGTCTAGGCCATTGCTTTTGGTTACTGTAAAATAACAGTTGCCATTACTAGTTCTTTAAATAATGTCATCATATCTAATGTTTAAACTCATCAGTAAAATAATATTATATTAGCATTAATGGAAGTTTAAGGATTAAGATAGTGATGATCAACAATTTACGGATTCAATGAAGAGCAACCCACTCAAATCTGTCTATGCCAACCTTTTGCAAATAGCGGTGTTTGTGGTAAAAATGTCACACAAATCATAATATATAGCAGCATTTTGCATTAAAAACACCACTAAAACAAGAGAATTAGTGGCGTTTGTAGCAAAAAGCTGAATATGCTTGAAAATTACCGAGCAATAATGACATTGGTAAACTCAGTAAATAAAAAAGTTAAGTCATTAATTGTTACTGAGTAATGAATTTTTAAGTTACATTATCTTGTAAGTTGCATAAAAAAGTAAAAATACAGAATGATTATTTGTTAAAACTGAACTTTGAAACATTTAACACTTAATAAAAGCAGGTAAACTAAAGTTAATTATAAACTTGTAAAAGTAAGTAATAAAAACCGAAAGAGCCAATACCCTGTATAAATATTAATTTAGATCAAGTATAAGCATCAGTTTTTCACTTCTCAATTTGAGGAAAACAAACATGAAAGTGATGAATTGCATTCTCAATTTGTTTCTCGTTTTTCAAGTAGTTTCATTAGGATTTGCAGATGTGGTTCCAGTGCCATCATTTGAAATTAGTAAAGAGTCAATTTTGAAGCATTTGTCATTAGACAACATTACTTTGGATCTTCCAGCTTTATACGTATTTGGAGACAATTTTGTTGATGCAGGAAATAATAATTATCTCAATTTACCTCGAATTCAAAGTAATTATTCTCCGTATGGAATAGATTTTGATGGAAAACCCACCGGTCGTTACACCAATGGTAGAACAGTAGCAGATTTCATTGGTAAGAAGTTAATTAGTCCACAATTTTACTCTAATATGAAAATCTTAACACCTTCATTTCAATAAAAAAATTAAACTTTTAACTGTAATTATTAATAATATAATTTAAAGTCAGAAGTCTATTTTATTTTTATGTGAAAGAGTAATTAATTAATGTTCTACCATTTATTTTATGGTGCAGCTCAATTTACTGGTTTGCCATTTCCTCCTCCAGTACTAAGTTTGTCTAAAGATGTTAAGAGAGTTCCTCAAACTGGTTTAAATTATGCTACTGGTTTCACCGGCATCTGTAGATTATATGACAAACTATTCGTAAGACTAAGATATCTTTTCTTAACTTGTTTACTTGGATAATGATTATTTATTATTTATCTTGGACGTAATTGCATCATAGAACAATATTAAACAAAATTATGCAATTAATATAATAATTATTTTTTTAATTAGAATTTGTATCCACCAGGACCCGATGCCGGCCTTGAAAGAGCAAGTAGAATTATTCGAACAAACAACAAAAAAGTTACGAAGTCAATTTGGAAGCGAGGAAAGTTTTTCCAAGTACATGTCAGGATCTTTACTTTTCATTAACACAATTTCTTTAGACTTAGATCTCGCGTGGGTAGTGTCAACACATCTTTTCGTCTTATTAAGATTTAAACTCTTAAAAATAGGATAGAATTTTATTAGATTCAAACTCCTAAAAATAAGATAGAGTTCTACTATGATTTAAACTCCTAAAGATAGGATCCACAATCACTATAAATAGTCATTGTAACTCACTATTGTAACACACGATTTACAGACAAAATATAGAGGAAAGCACGGAAAATACAAAGGCAAAACTATTGTAAACGATTCGAAAAGGAAATAAAAAGTAGAATTTTTTTGATTCGTTCATTTCTCGCATGTGCACGTTATTTTTCTTGAGATTTGGTTCGAATAACCCAAAACGTAGGTTGCGCCGATGACCAAAAATAGGCGGGGTTTCGAAGTTTCGAACCTAGATCTACCCCGAGGCGTGTTCATTTTTTATCCCCCTAATGCGCAATATCAACGTTAATTGTCTTTCAAATTTGGCCCAATCTTTATTTTTCTTTATATTAGTCTTTTTATTTATTGTATGAATATTTTTATTTATTTATTATTTACATTATTGTCATTATATAAATATATATACGTATATTTTTAAATAATTTTCAATTGATTTTTTACACTATATATTATTATTATATATACATATATTTTTTATTTATTTATATTCATTTGGTTATTTTTAATATTATTATTTATATATATATATATATATTTTAAAATATTTTACTTATAAGCATATTATTACCATATATATATTGTAATTATCTTTATTTGGTTTTTTTACTTTATCATTATACGTATATATGTATGTTTTAATAATTTATTTATAAGTCAATTATCATTATATGTATACTTTTATATTTGATTTATATATTTATTTGTTTTTGGTTTTGGTTTTTTTTATTTGTTTATATTATATTATATTTTCATATTATTATAATTATTGTTATGATTATTATTTTTCTATTTTACTCATTTATATATATATATATATATATATATTTTAATATTTCATTTATTTATTTATTTATTTTTCCTTTTATTTTTTTTACTTATTTTTATTCTTCATTTTTTTTCATTTATTCATTTTTTCCCTCTAACACATCTTATGACTTTTTAAGAGTATTTTCGTCAATTAATCAGAGGTAAGTAATTCATGATCAAATTTTACCTTTTAATTTAAAATTACAATTTTCTTAATTAAGACAACTGGAAATTACGTAGTACCGAAAGGGCAGTTCAAGGGTGATAATCCTTCCTTGACCGTAACCGACTCCAGAGCCCGACATATTTCTGGTAAGATGCAGATCAGGTAAGAAATAGGGTATCCGATCAACCCATTTATTTTTAAATAAATGATCGGTGGCGACTCCAATCCATATTTTTCAAGTCGAAGCCCAATTTCGGGGCCCAACCGAAAGACGGTTGCGACAGCTTGGCAACTCCACTGTGGACACAGGTAAGTGAGTCAGGCTAAGGTAATTTCCAGTTGTCTTTTTAATGAAAAAGGTAAGTTTAAATTTTAAGGTAACATTTCGATCTTATTACTTACCTTTGATTATATTTTTTCGAGTAAATAGTTGAACTAACCATTTTCTAATGATTTCAGCTTTCCAAACTTTTTCATCTAAGGCTCTAAACCCGAGATCCGAACCCGTTTTAAGTGGGGGTGAAAGCGACGCATTCGTGTGAATTTATTCACCGTATATGCCTAGCAAGTAGCCTTCGGGATTCATATACCTTATGTCTTCGTGTGAATTAATTCTCCGCATAGACATAAGGGAATGTGTCCTCTCGAGTTTAACTTAGTCCACACAAGACTATAATGGGTTTAGGATTAAGGGTCTGGCAAGCCCAAGGGGGCACCAACAAGGAGAACTCGGGTACCTTTTTTAGAACCTAAACCGGGAGACTGTGGAGAATTAGAGCCCACCCCAAAACTTCATTTCAAACCCTATGTTGTTCTTATTTCATGCTTTATTTTCTGTTCAAAGCATGTGAACTAGAAATTTATGCGGTTAGGACTTGTTCAAAATCAATTTGCGGGATAGAGATCATGTCCGGGTAGGAATAATAAGCATGTTGGGTAGATATCATATGGGGTAGGACTTTCATTTTTATGATTGTTTTTTATTATTTTTCACCTCACTAACTCTTTTCATCTTTATTTTATTTTATTTTCATCACTTGCATCATTTAAAAGAGATGTTGATCCACCAAAAAACGTGTTAGTTATCCATAAATAATTTGCATTAATGGATAAAGGTGTTGTAATACAAGAGATTAAAAACCCGAGGTACGACTATGGTCTGAGAAGACTCAGAAGGAAAAGGGAGACAGTCTTCAAGAAAACAATGTGTCAGAGTTGGTTAGCTACGCCTATATCAAAACATAACAATTTGCAAGAACTTCGAGACATCTGGGACAGTTGGAAGAATGATCAGAAATAGAAGTTCAGTCGGTGGTTGGTGACATTGCACTTTTGCTTCATGTTAAGACCGATGAGCCCTTAATTAGAGCCTTGGTTCGATTCTGGAACCCGGGATACAGTTGCTTCACTTTTAACGAGGAGGACATGGTACCTACCATCGAGGATTATACTACACTATTGCACCATGAAAGCATTAAACTGAGCGAGTCTATATCAAACACATCAAGAGTCAGCCTTTCAAGAACAGACTGGCTAAGATTGCAGGAGTTGATGAAAAGTGGGTAACTGACCGACTCCGAAACAAAGGTAACGGGCAGGGAATTGAGTGGATCCACATAAGGAAACTAATGAATGACCACCCTGATGAATGGAAGACTATAGACCTTTTTTGCACTAGGTCTGTATGGCTTGATCATCTTTCCGAATATTTTGGGATGCATTGATGTAGCCGTGGTGGAACTGTTTGAGCAACTTTCGAAACGGGTCAACCCAGCACCAACCATCTTAGCCGAGACCTTTCGGTCTCTCAACCATTGCCGAAGAGCTGGCGGAGGTAGATTCATTGGATGTGTTCAGCTCCTTCAAGTCTGGATTCACAACCACTTTTGGAAGACTAATGGGGTTGCCTACCGCCGATTTAGCACTACGTATTCACCTTTGAGAGAGTTCATCACCATGAAATGGCATGAAGGAACTTCAAAAGAGAAGTGGATGAAAGTCTTCACTCATCTATCAAGACCGATATATTACTTGGAGAGCCCCCTGGTTGTTCCTCAGTGACGTTCTTTTTCGATGTGGGGACTCCGACACTATGACCTTACTTGGACTTTAGGGTGCAGTTGGGTATGCTCCATTTTTAGCACTTAGACAGTATGAGGCACGTCAGTTTGTCCCAGTAACATGCGGACTAGCTAGATCAGAGTTTGAGTATCACAGTCACAGCTATAAGAAGATGATCAAGGAAGCAGTCGATTCATGGAAGAAAGTATTCCAGATGGATGTTGTAGCTGCCAAAAACATGCTTACTCCGGACTATGTGGAGTGGCGAAGATTGAGAAAAAATGACAATATCCCGGTGCCAGACTGTGAGGACACCCGGACCATGGAAGAATATCTCAGGCCTGTCCCTTTGAACTTGAGATAGGCAAGACAGAGTTTGAAGCTGTAAATAACGAGCTGAAGCTGAGGATAAAGGAGCTTGAAGCTGAGCGCTATCAATGGAAGCTAGATGTCGACTCTCAGAAGGATTGAGCAGACAAACTTGAAAAAGAACAGAAAAATGTCCGTTTTGAGCTTGAAGACTTGAGAAATGGGTATCAAGATAAAGTCAAAGATAACTCCAAGTTGAAAGTGGCTTTTGAATACTGGAAAGACGAAGCTCATAGCCTGAAAAGAAAGTTTGAATGGCCTGATGAGAGAGCTTGTAAGGAACAGATGAAGATTGCCCAAAGGCGCTTAGCATACAGTCAGCATCAAAACCAATGCTTGAGAATCCGAATGGCTGATCTGGAGAAACAACATGAGAGAGATGGCAAAACAATAGCTGAGTTAGAAGCTATTCTAGATGGGTTCAAGAAGCAAGCAAGCGAGCTTCAGATAGTGCCCTTCGACGGAGGTTTACAGTGGTATTTCCATTGGGAGCAAGCACAACAAAGGGTGAATGCCAGAGACGCAGTCATCCGAGACTTCCTGGATCAAGTACAGAAGGCAGCTCGCCAACTACATGGCCTGGCAAGGGAAGCTGGAGTGGTCCGAAAAGGCATACAACTAGTGACAGATGAAAACAGAAGACTTGTCAACCTGCTGGAAGCTGTTCGGAGTCTAGAGGATTTAGTACGAATGTACCTATGATTTTTTTACGTCTTTTACAAGATAAAACATTTTTGTCTAAGTAAAGATTATTTATAATAATGGACACTTTTCTGGATCAATGCCTCAAACATTTCATGCATCCTTGCATTTTACATTTTTGCATCTTCATCTACGTTTTTAAGCATTTTCATAAACATGAAATTAAGTCATCAAGGATTTGATAAAGTGGTTTTAAACCACATGACACCACATAGAAGCAAGTGAATCAATTAAAGAAAAAAACTGAAATCAGTACAGTAGGAGCTGGATCAGCTGATTGTAGGACTAAGCCTGCCAGGATGATCTAAGAAAAGAATCCCCATATCCTAAGGGCTACGATGTTGAAGCTGCTAACTGTTACCACGTAAGAAGCCCCAAACATTCTTCTGAAAACTGTAAGGCGCTTGCCGAAGAAGGGGGCATGGCATATAGGATTTGCACTTAGAGGATTATTTTGTTTGAACACATCTTTGATCTTTTGCTTAATCTTTTAAACGATTGAATTTATGCTACTTTCTAACGTGGAGCAGTTGAACAAATTTTAATCTTTAGTTCTTTGAATATTAAATGAATTAAGGATTCTTTTAATTCTTCAAGAATTATAGATTTTTGACATATGACAAGATTAGACCTTTTTTATCCTATCTCAAACCCCCAAAATAAAATACCTTGATCATTACAAAAAAACCAAATTTTGACATTACATCCCTTTGAAATTCTTGAACATTGCCTTTACCTTTATGATACACCCATACCCTTCTTTGAGTCAATAAGATCACACCACTGTCTTTTTAGAATTAAAGTTGACCTTTTTTTTACCATTAAAACCCAAGGCATTGAGTTTGTTCATTTGAACAAGAGCATTCTTCTAAATTGGGGCATTTCACAGATAGCCTGAACATTGAGACATATGGGGAGCAAAAAAAAAATCATTCGAAATAATTCTATCACGCATTAACTACACTGTTTTCATGTGAATGAAATTAATCCTGAAAATCTATACCCCTGGGGATACCTCTTATGTGAAGATTTACATGTATTAGATGATGAACGGTGTTTTTTATTTATCCCTTCACAACAGGAGAAAAAATATATCCCTTGTGTCCCCTTTTAAGCCTATAGTGTTTTTCTTCTGATTCAACCCTAACCAAGGATCACCCTCCACACTGGGGGGAAGGTGAGCAAATCTGCTTGTATGAGTGAATGCATTGATTCAGATGAGATACCGAAAGGTGAACCAAATGCCAAGTGAAAAGATTCAATCAGAACAAAAAGAAAAAAAACAAAAAAAAAGAAGCAAAAAAGAAGAAAACAAAAGAAAAAAGAAAGAACAAAAATCAAAAAGAAAAAGGGACAAAAAGCACATGCAAAGATTCCCTGAAGACAAATGGCGCATCAAGCTTCAAATTATGAGATTGATCAAGCATAAACATTCCCGAATCACTGAATCACTTCACTCGAAGATCATAGAGCATCAAGAGAGAGACATTTTGAGCAGACATGATTGAAGGCATCAGAATGAATTGATTATTGGTTCAACACCCTAAAACACTTGTTTGGGCCTATTTATCCTTTTTTTCATAACCATGAACCCTGGCCTACATTACGTGCCTTAAAAGTCCCTTCTAATCATACATGGATTTCTAAACAGAAGAGACTATCTTCAGATTTCATCCCGCCCATCAGGATTAATCTTTGTTTGCAAAAAAACAATGTAATTAATGCATGGTAGAGAAAAATAACAAAGGGGGTTCAAGACGTAAATCCTGAATAACGTCTTGAAACCAAAGGAGGATTCGAGTTGAAAATCTGAAAAGACGGCTCGAATATAAAAATTATGCAACTGAGGCGATCACACAAATCCAAATGTGACCATGAAAGCTGAGAGTCGGAGAACACTTCCATTAGAGGAGCATGCAAGCTACCCCATCAAACCTTTGAGCATCAAATGCCAAACCTTTGAGCATCAAATGCCAAACCTTTGACCAAACATAATAACCTGAGACATTTTTATCCTTTCCTTACTTAACCATTTCCCAAAGATAGCTTTGATCTTGGCACGTGTCAAATAACTATAATTTATTGAAGGATTAACATTGTAATTAAACATTTGATATCCAATGAACTCTAGTTTTATGATTCGTCTCAATTGTAAAATCGTGAAAGAGACAATATTTTCAAAACTTTTGATACAACTCTTTATTGATATTTTCAGAACTTTGAAAATAAAAGAGAAAGAAAAATATTTTTTTCAAACAAGACAGTCTCTCTAGAGTGGATCTTGGTAAATGACATGTGACTCTTAGAAACAAAACTCATGCTCAGAATCAATGTTGAAGCAAGAAATGAGGAACATTTGGGGCATCTTTGAAGATTTAACATCAAATATTGGGGCATTTTTGGATATTGGGGCATCATTTGGGGATTCAACATCCTAATGCAAATTATCATACCTTTTTCAGGAGATAAAATATAACCAATTCATGTTACATGCATCTTATGCATACATTTTAGAGCATCATATTTATCATTTTCCACATACATAATTTTTTGTAGCTTTTAGATTCAAGTTTCGACTTCAAGACGAAGGATACTCGATTCGAAAGCACCTTTAAAGATTCATGTTGGTTGTTTAACTCAGCAGCAAGAAGCTACACTTCGACCAACTCGACAGATTGAAAGTTTCTGTCGAAACAACACGATTTGATCGAGAGTGGAGTTCAACTTCACAACGAAGGAATGGCTGGTTGTCAACAAATAACTTCCCAATTTCAGAGCCAATTTCAACTTCACATCGAAGGATATTGGACTCCAGACAACGCAAGTTCAACTTCACGACGAAGGGACCGCTGGTTGTCAACAAACAACTTCTCAATTTCAGAGCCAATTTCAACTTCACAACGAAGGATATTGGACTCCAGACAATGCAAGTTCAACTTCACGACGAAGGGACCGCTGGTTTTCAATAAACAACTTCCTAATTTCAGAGTCAATTTCAACTTCACAGCGAAGTATATTGGACTCCAGACAACGCAAGTTCAACTTCACGACGAAGGGACTGCTGGTTGTCAACAAACAACTTCTCAATTTCAGAGCCAATTTCAACTTCACAACGAAGGATATTGGACTGCAGACAACGCAAGTTCAACTTCACGACGAAGGGACCGCTGGTTGTCAACAAACAACTTCTCAATTTCAGAGCCAATTTCAACTTCACAACGAAGGATATTGGACTCCAGACAACGCAAGTTCAACTTCACGACGAAGGGACTGCTGGTTGTCAACAAACAACTTCTCAATTTCAGAGTCAATTTTAACTTCACAACGAAGGATATTGGACTCCAGACAACGCATGTTCAACTTTACGACAAAGGGACCGATGGTTGTCAATAAACAATTTACCAATTTCAGAGCCAATTTCAACTTCACAGCGAAGGATATTGGACTCAAGACAACGCAAGTTCAACTTCACGACGAATGGACCGCTGGTTGTCAATAAACGACTTCCCAATTTCAGAGCCAATTTCAACTTCACAGCGAAGGATATTGGACTCCAGACAACACAAGTTCAACTTCACGATGAAGGGACCGCTGGTTATCAACAAACAACTTCTCAATTTCAGAGCCAATTTCAAGTTCACAACGAAGGATATTGGACTCCAGATAACGCAAGTTCAACTTCACGACGAAGGGACCACTGGTTGTCAATAAACAATTTCTCAATTTCAGAGCCAATTTCAACTTCACAGCGAAGGATATTGGACTCCATACATCACAAGTTCAACTTCACGACGAAGGACCGCTGGTTGTCAATAAACAATTTCCCAATTTCAGAGCTAATTTTAACTTCACAGCGAAGGATATTGGACTCCAGACAATGCAAGTTCAACTTCACGACGAAGGGACCGCTGGTTGTCAATAAACAATTTCCCAATTTCAGAGCCAATTTCAACTTCACAGCGAAGGATATTGGACTCCAGAAAATGCAAGTTCAACTTCACGACGAAGGGACCGCTGGTTGTCAATAAACAACTTCCCAATTTCAGAGCCAATTTCAACTTCACAGCGAAGGATATTGGACTCTAGACAACGCAAGTTCAACTTCACAACGAAGGGACCGCTGGTTGTCAATAAACAAGTTCCCAATTTCAGAGCCAATTTCAACTTCACAGCGATGGATATTGGACTCCAGACAATGCAAGTTCAACTTCACGACGAAGGGATCGCTGGTTGTCAATAAACAATTTCCCAATTTCAGAGCCAATTTCAACTTCACAGCGAATGATATTGGACTCGAGACAACACAAGTTCAACTTCACAACGAAGGGACGGCTGGTTGTCAACAAATAATTTCCAGGTTCCAGAGCCAATTTCAACTTCACAACGGAGGATATTGGACT